GAGAGAGCGGGGGGGGCGGGTCTGGGACCCCGGCCCAGCACCCCTCCGCTCCTCCCGCGGGAAAGCGTCTCTCCCTGTTCGCAGGTCAGCACCCCTTTCTTTTTGCAAGGTAGCACCCCTCCCTCTTAGGGGATAGCGCCCCGCTCTTCTTGCCGGGCGGCACCCCGCTTTGCAAGGCAGCCCCCCTCTTTGTAAGCCAGGATCCCTCTTTGCAGGGCAGCACCCCTCTTTGCAAGGCAGGATCCCTCTGTGCAAGGCAGCACCCCTCTTTGCAAGGCAACCCCCCTTTTTGCAAGGCAGGATCCCTCTTTGCAGGGCAGCACCCCTCTTTGCAAGGCAGGATGCCTCTCCCTCTTGCAGAGTCACCTTTCTTCCCCTCGCAGGTCGTGCACAGCAGCAGCAGATGCGCAAACCCCAAACTACGCTCAAGGCAAAGGTCTTCCTAGGGACTGAGCTGCCGTTTTCAGTTTGGATCCCAACGGCAGCAAGATGCGCTGTACGCGTCCCCCGAGGAAGGGACCACTGGCATTTGGGGATCCGGCGTTTGCCTGGCTGTGTGGGAAGGAAGGGGGTCTCGCTCTCGGCAGCTGTTTTGTTTTGTCCCACCTGAAACCTTTGCAGTTTTAAGCACACACTGTTTGGGCTGCTGCAGGAGCTACACCTTCAGAGGCAGTGGCAAGGACAGCCAGTTCCTGGGTTTGAACTAATCCTTGCCCAAAATGCCAGAGAAAGCACCTCTTTCCTATTAGACTTTTTTCTCCAAAGCAGCTGAGATCTGACTTAAGAAAAATTGCATCTCCAGCTGTTATGATTGACGGGAGGGCCTCTGGAAAAAGGACTACCAAGTGGAGCTCATGAACTACATGAAACCATAGTTCGAGATACCCGAATGTCCCCATTCATCTCCCCGGGGAGCTGACTGACACCCACAAACGTTGTAAGGACCTCAACTACTTCACAGCATGTTTGCACAGAAGAAACCTGGCTAAGCAGCACACTTTGAACCTGCAAGTGGCTTCCAGCGTAGGCCAGCCTTAGAAAAATACACATGGTCTCCGCCCTCCTTAGCGTCTTCATAGAAAAAAGGTACAAAATGGGTGTGTTGGGCTGAAACGTCAGCCAGTAGGGCTGAAATGTGGATCAAACAATGACAAGGAATTGCCTTTTTAAAAGCTCCCCTATGAGCTGTGTTTGCTCGCATTCACTCAGGGTAATAATCTTCATTTGGAAACAGCTTCTCTCCCCCCAGGGTGGGCAGTGGGTTCTAATTATGATCCACTTCTGCGTTAAAGCCAAACAAGGCCCCTCACTGTGAGGAGGTTTTCCCTCGTTGCAGTCGGAGGCAGGAGGGAGGAAAGCAGGCAGCGGTACCGAGGATGGCTGACGTGAGGATGGCTAATGTGCGTGCGCTGCTGTGAATCGCATTTGGAGACACCTCACGTGGAATTCAATTATTCCTGCTGCTCCGGGGGAAGATGGTAGCACGAAAGGCTATGGTGCAAGGGAAGTAAATAACAGAGTCTGCAGCAAGCAGAGGATCTGGTCAGAAGATGGATAAACTTGAAAGATCCTGGCCCAGCTGCAGGCTCTGGTTTTCCTTCTGGGCCCACACTGAAGTGCTGGTGATGTGCAGCAAGCTAGCCAAGCAACACCTTCTCCTTTTTTTTTTTGGTCCCTATCACTAGTCAAAAAAAACCTCCTCAAACCCCCCAAAACCTGTGTTATTTCTTACATGACATGATGCAGGACTCTCATTACAGCACAGCTGGGGGAACGGATGGCCATAACACCAGTTAAGGGCTCTGGACCCACAAATAACCCACAGAGAACAAATTTGTACATAATTAGTTTTTTCTTTAGGCAACAGGAAGAGAAGACAACCTTCCAATATTTAGTTAGAAGAAATTAAGCGTCCCTTGTGTTCTATTTGCTAGGGCAAGAACTAGCTGGCATACTTGGTGGCAAAGGCAAGAGTTAAAAAAATCCCCAATCTATTTATGTATCAGTCCTGCAAGACCTAGAGTAGGGATGCTGGAGAACTCACATTCCAATAGGTTCAAAGTGCAGGCTAGAAAAGCATTCCCCACTAGCCTCTAGAGACGCTTGGGGCTATTTTTTGGCCCTTGCCCTTTGTTGCCACCAGTCCCACCGTGGGTAGCAAACCCTTGAACAGCTGCGTGCCTGAACTGCTTCTTTGCCTCACTGCAGGAGGTGGACTAGCAACCTCTTGAACCATCTCTCTCAATCACGTCTATGATCTCATGCTAAACTAAAAGGAGGCTAATCTTAGCATAAATTTACACTTATCCCATCTTTCATAAGCATAAAATGAAGGTGGAACGCAGAGCGCTTGCAGGAAAGCAGTGTAGCAGGGAAGATTAAATGTAGGAACTGACAGCAGACTTGGCAGCATCAGCTCTGGCAACCTGCTTCAAGGGAAGGCTTGGCCGAGGTGCCGCAGGTGCAGAGGCACTGTCAGCCCGGCACGGGGTCTGGGGCAGCGGCTGGGGAACACCCCTTCGGACCTCCTGCAAGTGGCCTGTGTGTGCTCTGGCAAACCTGGCTGCCAATAATGCCTCAGCTGAATACCATCGAAAAGAAAATTTTAGGAGGCTGTGAATGCATCTCAAATGCTCTTACGATGGTTTAAGCTGTTCCGTCTGCTTCTGTGACAACCGGGTAATTTTTATATAATTATTCTCCCCTCCTGAATAACTTGAGAGATATAGATCTCTCTCTCTACACACCCCCCCCGCCATATATATACACAGTATCTGTGTACTACAGATGAGCCCTTACATTGGTGCACACCTACATCCCGATTCTCCCAGTTCTCACCAAAATTGGAATGTTTTTAGATTCAGTTCTGATGCAAGCAGATGGGCCTTGCAAGTCTTAGTTCAGATCTTTTGCAGTCAACTGCAAGTATCTCTCACTCATGGAATAATTCAGGTAGTTTATTTTCTATAGATGACACACATCATCTAGGAAAGAAAACAAGATTAAACGCGCACACACACAGTGGTGCATTGCAGGCAACTTATTACTGCAATAATCACTCCTACTTGTCAATACAAGGACTGCTGCTGTGTACAGTTAATCACAGAAATAAGTTCTACTTCAGTAATCTCAGTGCATACATTAAAATCCAAAAAGCACTTAAGTATTTACCAGTTTTACTTGTATTAGTTAAAAAATTGGCAGCAACAATACTTCTATGTTACAAAGTGATTTTTAGCCTGCTGACAAAACCTGCTACAAGTGACTTCATCACTACTCGCGTTGTCTCTGTTCACCAGTTAGCTACCTTAGGAAACGAGGCTCGTCAACAGTGTAACTGTACTTAT